CAAAATATGAAAAATCTACCTCATCTGGGAGCTGTCTCTTCTAAGAAGAAAATTCATCCTGGATTTTTTGCCTCAAAATGCATGAAAGGTCACGTTGTTTCAAAAGACGCCTTTTTCACCGATTTTCCGGTCAATTGTTCCAATCGGATGAAGGTCTCAAAATTCACTGAGCTTTTACAGTGAATGCGGTGAGGGCGCTTGAGTCAGCATTGCATCGCTGTTTATATTAAGATGGGCGAGCCCCAACCTTACCTAGGGGTAAGCGCGATTACGAGACGCAAAACTCGAATTCTGGCGATCAAAAACTTTTGGTCGAAAGGTGACACTCTGTTTGCACGACGGCGCTCTTGCAAAAAGCTGTCGGAATCTGCAAATACGGATTTGCAACTTTGGAGTTGAAACGCTTTATCTGCAAACTAGTCGTGCGCAGTAGGTCTGATATGACTCCAAATTTTACTCCTTCTAACTCCTCATCAAGTCAAAGTCACGGAACTGTCAAGTATTCTAGAATTCTGAAGTTTTGGGCGGTTCTCCGTCCGATCGAGTAGTCATAGTGATTCACGATTAGGCAGTGTGCAATACCCATTTTTGAAGGGAAGCGGAAGTCGAAATGGGAATTCTAAGAGTTGTGATGATGTTCCGGCTATGCGCACGAGTTTATCGCTGCACTGGGAAGTACTGAGCACATGACAGAGCTTTTCAACATTAGAATCTAACTTGTGTGGTTCGAAAGCTCGTCTAAGTGAATGTGAAGTCGTTTATCAATATCAGCGACTACGCAATATTGACTCAAGCGATATCTATCGTATTCATTGCAAAGACTCATTGGACCTTCATTTGAGTTATACAAGTGTTTGAAAATTTGGTGAAAAAGCAGTTCTTTGAAATGTTGGGACTTTTGAGCATTTTGAAGGCGAAAAAATCATTGCATTTCTTTTCAAATGGCGACAGCTCCCAGGTGTAACAAATTTTTCATATTATGGTGTACGTGTACAAAAAATTTTAGATTTAGAGATTGTTGTTTGTTCAAAAATGGAGGTGATTTTATAGCTGTGAGCAGCCTTCGGAACCAAAAACAAACGAAATCGAGAGCCGTTCTTGTCGACGACATGAACGGCTCCCAATTTCGACATTCCAACGATGACATGAACGTTGGCTTACACAAACCTCGTCCGAAAAAGAG